CCACACACATATTGCCATATTGAAATGGGGAAAACATTCTATGATGATGTCTGTCACTAAGCAGGAGCACCAGAGAGGAGACTTTTTAGAGGTGGCGGGCTAAAAGGGACAAAGGCAAAAGGGGCCCCTGATTTGATGTGTTTCACTTTCATCATTCGTCTGCAACAAAATCATGGCCACAAGAAGAAGACTCCCACAAACCGCTTTTCGTGTACCCAACAATCAATCAATCAATCAAACCTTCTTCCATTAGGATTAGAACCCTAACAAGTTGTTGTGTGTTTAGTGTTTCACATATCATTATCAACCAACAAAGGAAGAAAAAACTCCGCCACCAGATGATGGATGGATGCTACACGTGATTCGACTCCACACACTTATCTTCATTCATGTGTGTACTGGAAAAAAGCTGATATTAGATATACCTAAATGAAGCATCTCATCTAACCTCCCGTCCTTTATTTTTTGGGTTCCTGCTTTTCTGAGCATCTCCTCTCATCTAAGGAATTTGCAGTTTCCTTGCTGATTAATTTCTGTGTTAAAAGGCTTCACTCTCACTTGATCAAAGGGAGGGGCCCTGAAGTTCCAGTGGTAAGAAAGCAAAGCATCTCTTTCAGGCTTGGACAAAAAGTGTGGAGAGGGGAAACAGTAGTAAGTTGCCAATTGCTCCCAAAGTGCAACAAAAGAAGGAAAGTGCAACAGTAGAGAATACCATCATCTGTAAGGAAGAAAAGAAAAAGGAGGTGGAAAGACAAACAAAGGAAGCCTCAAGCCTCTTCTTTTGACTCTAGTAAATAGTAATACACCTAAGCTAGCAAGAGGATTGTAAGATTAATAAGGATCAATTGATGTATAACAATACTGTAACAAGAAACAGTACAGATGGAGTACTATTACACCTTCTATGTACCCAGATGTTGGGCTCTACGTTCACCCCATGGCAACAAACCAACACTAACTGGAACAGTAGCAGCAGCAGCAGAAGAAGAAATGCTCATCTGGGTCTCACATGAACTTGGCAATTTACCCTTCCTGGACCACTGCCATATCTTTGACACAGAAAAGCTTTCACCTTTACTCCGACTGTTGATCCTTTTCCCATCAGCATCCCCATCTACACAACAAGGATTCGTTTCAATTTGTCCATTTCTCCCTTTCACCATATTTTTTGTGGCACCACTTCTGCTGCTGCTGCTGCTATTATCGTTGTTGTTACTAGGGCTTAGGGTGACCTGCAACTCCAAATCAGCCACCACATACTGATATGAACCCATCGAGAAACACCTCCTCGCATCCAAATTACTGCTACTGGTCTCTCCAGCCGGCCGTCTCTCCGCTGCTGCCTCTTCATTATTCGAGCTCCTAAACTTGCCGAGTCTCACGGAGAACACCCTCTTTGAATTCATTATGCTGGCATTCTCCCCTGGCTTTTTCCCTCCTGTATTTGTAACACTCACCAATATCCCACTTCCTTCTGCATTGCTTTGAACCTCTTCATCCCTCAGTAATTGTGCTTCCATATCAAAAACTGGGTTCTCAAAAGAAAGCCCGGCTGAATAAAGGCTACCTCTACAAAGAGGGCAAGTCGAATTTGAAAGCAACCATGTGTCTATACAGTCTATATGGAAGGCATGGCTACAAATGGGAAGCAATCTCAACTTGTCTTTCTCAGAAAATTCACAAAGACAAACGGGGCAATCGAACGGCTCCTTTAGACCCATAATGTCTTTGTAAGGAAACACAGGCAGGGCATCAATAAAAGCTTGATCTAGACCAGAATCATGGAGATGGAAGAGCTGCTGTAACTGTCTTTGAAACGCATCACTCCCAGAGACATCCCGCTGCGGGTTGGAGTCCGACATCGAAGCCGAACCTCTCTGCTTCATGAGGAATCTGACGAGTAAATGGAGAAGACCAGAAATGAAGAACACGACTGCTAGAATTACAATGACGAAGAGTATAGCTGGGCTTATTTTTCCGCCTGAGGAAGACTGTTTCTGGCTGTAATCACCATCGTAAGGCGACGAAGAACCAGAAGAGGAAGAAGAAGAAGTAGGAGATGGAGAAGAAGAAAGCAACGATCGAGGATGGTGGGTTTCAAAAACAACCCAAGTTGACATCTTTCTTCATTCACTCTTCCAGCATCGCAGAAACTCTATTCCTGATTGTGGAGGAAAATTGTGAGCTTTGACTCTCACTCAGAGCTAAACAAAAAGTGAAGAAATTGCCTAATTTTTTTAAACTCCCCCCTCTGGCATGGCCCAAATGGGGCAACTCATTCAATCTTCCAGAACTCTACCTACCCACAACAGAACAGCAGGCACACTCTCACCTAAGAATAGCTGCCATTAATGGAGACCTTCATTTATTTATTCATAGAGAAGATGCCCAAGAAACGAAACCCTAATAAGAAGAGTACCAGCTATAGAAGAACCTGGAGGAAGCAGGTTTTTTTTAAGTTTCTTTCTGTTTTATCTGTTTCACTGTTTACTTTGGGGTTGGGGGAAGGGAAGAACTGCCAGAGGGAGAGAACAGAGAAGAATAGATATACTGTGAGTGGCTAAATTACACATTTGGTCACTCAAATTATACAAATCTTTCACATTTGCCATCCGAATTACTTTTCTTTCTTATTCGCCACTAACTTTACGAATCGTTTCACGGTTGGTCACCGGCCGTTACACTCCGTTAAATTTGTCCTACATGGCAGTCAACTATAAAGTTTGACCGTTAACTAGATGACGGGGAAATTAAAAAATAAATAAAATTTTCTTTCCACCTCATTATTGCACTTATTTTGTCTATATAATTTATCATATTAATAATTTAATAAAATTTAATAAATTGCAAAAATGGGTAAATCCAAATGCTCATCATCCTCACCCTCACCATCCACTCCATCGTTCAATCACCAGACTATCTCCGGCATCAAGTCCAAAGGCGTCCGCCCCGACCTCATCGGCTCCATCGTCGCTCACTACGCCTCCAAGTGGCTCGCGGAGCTCTCCCTCTCCTCCTCCGTCGACAACAGCGTCCCTGCCGCTGCGCGGCCGGCTCGGAAGAGAGCATGACGGTGCAGTGGATGAAGAAGCTGTTCATCCGGGCGATCCAGTTCCTCCAGAAGCACTGGCCGCTCCTCTGGCGCGACCTCCGCACCGGATCCTTCGACCCGGCCGTCATCACCGATTCAACCGTAGGAGAGGCCGTCCTAACCAAAATCCTGCTGCGACCAGATCCGGAACTCGCAGGTTTCGTTGAAACAGAGTGCGGGAAGGATTCGTGGTAGGGGATTATAACCCGGCTCTGGCCCAATACCAAATATGTTGATGTGATTGTGACAGGGACAATGTCGCAGTACATTCCCACTCTGGATTTTTACAGCAATGGGTGGCCGCTGGTCTATACAATGTACGCTTCTTCCGAGTGCTATTTTGGGGTTAATCTGAACCCGCTCTGTAGACCCAGTGAGGTCGCGTACACGTTAATTCCCACCATGGCCTACTTCGAGTTCCTCCCTTTTCACCGCAACAGCAACAATGGGGTTTCCAATTCCATCTCCATGCCCAAATCCCTCAACAAGAAGGAGCAGTAGGAGCTCGTCGACCTCGCCGATGTCAAGCTCGGCCACGAGTACGAATTGAGTTAATCTGTCTCTGTTTCGATCTTAATGTTTTTTGTTTTGCGCGATCGAATTGCAGGATTGTACAGGTACAGAGTGGGGGATGTGCTGCGAGTGGCGGGGTTCAAGAACAAGGTGCCTCAGTTCAACTTCATCTGCAGGAAGAACGTGGTGCTGAGCATCGACGCGGACAAGACCGACGAGGTGGAGCTGCAGGCGCGGTGAAGAACGCGGTCGACGCCCATCTGGCGGCGTTCGACGGGAGCATGGCGGAGTACACGAGCTACGCCGACACGACGACGGAACGATGGAGTTGATGGTGAGAGTGAGGATGATGAGAATTTGGATTTGTCCATTTTTGTAATTTATTAAATTTTATTAAATTATTAATATGATAAATTATATAGACAAAATAAGTGCAATGATGAGGTGGAAAGAAAATGTTATTTTTTAATTTTTTTTAATTTCCACGTCATCTAGTTAACGGTCAAATTTTATAGTTGACTGCCACGTAGGACAAACTTAACGGAGTGTAACGGCCGGTGACCAACCGTGAAACGATTCGTAAAGTTAGTGGCGAATAAGAAAGAAAAGTAATTCCAGTGGCAAACGTGAAAGATTTGTATAATTTGAGTGACCAAATGTGTAATTTAGCCTACTGTGAGTACTGAGCACAAAAGTAATTTCAGGAGGCCCATCAATGGTGTTATTCACTCATTCTTTCGTTCCGGGTCGGATGACCAAAAGGGAAGTTTAGCCCACTAGTCTGTTCTGGGCCGGATCCTTTTGAAATAGATACTCGGAAGAAGGCCCAATTGGGAGGTGTGACTCTTGCTGCACACGCACCGCGTCGTGTATTTTTTTTAAGGGATGTTGGAGTTGGATTGCACTTCGAATGATGGGTTACAAAGATGTAAACAAAAACCCTAGATTAAAAACAAGATCAAGAAAGCACTGAAACACAAGATGAAATCAAACCATGCGTGGAAAATACAACAAGAGAAAACAAGACACATAACGAAAACACACAACAAAAGCTTATTGTTTGATTTGAGGATCTTGATTCGAAATTTTATCAATTTGTTAATGGCTAAATTACACGTTTAGTCACTCGAATTATACAAATCTTTCACGTTTGCCACCCGAATTATTTTTCTTTCTTATTCACCACTAACTTTACGAATCGTTTCACCGTTGGTCACCGGCCGTTACACTCCGTTAAATATGTCCTACGTGGCAGTCAACTACAAAGTTTGACTGTTAACTAGATGACGTGGAAATTAAAAAAAATTAAAATAATAATTTGTTTGTCCACCTCATCATTCCACTTACTTTATATATATTATTTATTATATTACTTATTTAATAAAAATTAATTAAATTATAAAAATAAATAATATGATTGATGTCCTCCGTGCTGCATGCCGACGGCGGCGGCGGCGACCACCTCCACGGAGGCCCAGAGCGCCCTGGAGGCCTTTGCCGGAGGTGATGACGGCCTTGTCGAGTCCCGTGGGCTCTTCGTCGTCGTCGATGAAGCGTCCTTTGTCACCCAAGGCTTCGATGGCGCCCAACCCGTGGGATTCCAGTTTCCATATTCAACTGGGATGAAATTCCCTTCCGTGTAAGAGCTTCCCCAAGCAAAGATTCCTGCACCAGCCAAGCCATATATAAAACACATGTGTACAATCACACTCAGCTGAGAGTCTATAGTTGAAAGAGGGCAAAGGCAAAAGCAGAGGCCACGAAGACTCAAAGCCAATCTTGGCGACATGCCCCACGAAGAGCTCATTCTGCTTGGTGAAACCAATCCCCCCAAATGTTCCAAATTAAAGATACCATCCTCAACTTTGGGCTTTGGTGGAGGAGCCTATCCATGCATATACACATAACTGAATTCAACATTTTCGTACTAAAGGAGCAAAGCAAAGAACCGTGAGAAACAGAGTCTAGGCTCACAAATTGGTTTGAAGGTCTTACCTTCTTAGGAGCAGCCTTGGTTTTATATTTGAACAGAGCGACAGTGGTGAGTGATATGGAAGAAGAAGGAAGTGGGCTGTAGAGGAGATGAGATGCGAATGACCTGGGCTTTACTAAACGGGAGAGGCCGCAGCTGCAGACGGAATTGGAGGCGGAGGAAGATTTGAAGACTTTGAAGAGGAGGAGCTGCTTCTTCTTGGTAGGATTTGGATTCCTCCCCTGCTTCAGCTTGCCGTTGCGGAGAATAAATCAATCATATTATTTATTATTATAATTTGATTAATTTTTATTAAATAAGTAATATGATAAATCATATACACAAGGTAAGTACAATTATGAGTTGGACAAATAAATTAATTTTTTAATTAATTTTTTAATTTCCACGTCATCTAGTTAACGGTCAAACTTTATAGTTGACTGCCACGTAGGACATATTTAACGGAGTATAACGGTCGGTGACCAACGGTGAAACGATTTGTAAAGTTAGTGGTGAATAAGAAAGAAAAGTAATTTGGGTGGCAAACGTGAAAGATTTATATAATTCGAGTGACCAAATGTGTAATTTAGCCATTTGTTAATATATTCATCGATTCAGAACGTGTAAAGGGAAGAACCAGTACGACCGGGGATTTTAACATATATAATTAAATGGATTGAATGGTTATACGAGTCGTTTGGAAGAGGAATTCTAACAAATAAATTTTACTCAATTGCTTCGTTTTGAGATAATGTGGTCAAATTTATCCGTTCGGCAGAATAAAATTTGGATGAAGCAATAGACAGACAATTCAAATTAAATCCTTTTAAATGGCTTGTTTTGGAAAACAAGACATTTTGTCAAATTATCTTATTTTTTAATTGATCCATCCAAACAATCACATAGTGAAATATGATGATAGAGTCAAATAACACTATGATTCATATACTAAAAACAATTTCTTTGTTTTTCTTATTAACCGACTGTTAACTATATCATTCCAACTTCTTATTTTATTTTTTACCATTACTTTCTCGGATAAAAAAAGTTAGTTTAAATTTTTGGAAAGAATGCAACCCATCAATGTGTATGTGTAGTAAACTTTTATTTTGATTTTCAATTTCACATCCACTTGTGATAGTATTTCATATGAAAATGAAAGTCTTTGTTAATTGGAAATATATTGTTGAATTAATTCAGGAAACAGACTCGCTACCACAAGACTTACATTATATTGAATAATTGACAAGTCAAAAGTTGACTTTGCATTTTCAGACATTTCGTTTCCCACTAAACATCATAAAAATAAAGATTAATGAACTGGATAAAATACGATTATTTTGACATTATTTTATTCGAATAAAATACAATTATTCTTAGTTAGAATCATAAGTTGGTTGAATTTAAAAATAAATAAAATTTGAATTCGAGAATAAATCATCATCATCTCGATTTCGATCTCGATCTTATAGTAAAGTACGATTCACTCCAATTACAATAAACATCGATTCGGGTCGATTACGTCTGATGTGTATCATATCATATCTTTGCCCAACCCGTTGGAACTGAGCTGGGCAACCACAGGACAAGAGTTTTTTTAAGTTTTAACAGCCATTTAAAAAAAAAGGGCAATGTCTATTTTTTACCCAAACCTTTTTCAGATTTTTTTATTTTAACCAAACCTATAGAAATTCTATTTATTATCCAAACGTATTATAATTTATCAAAGTCTGGGCATTCATTCTGTTACCGTTACTTATTTCGTCCACGTGAGGGGTGTGATTTTGTTTTGTTTTTTGATAATCTTTTTATTAAAAATAGTAAATGATGATATTCTGACCGCCACGTAGGAAGTCAACTCATTATGGTCATACTTAGTCAGCATTACTAATAGAAAAGTTGACGGAGAGTTAACGTTTGGATAATTTTTAGGAATTCAATAGGTTTGGTTAAAATAAAAGAATATGAAAAAGGTATGGATAAAAAATAGACATAGAAAAAAAAAAAACCTTCCGCTGAAATAAATGGGCCTTTAAAAGCCCAGCTAACAAGCACCGAATCAGATAAGCCCATTTTACAAAAATCCAGCAACCCGAGGTTTCCTTTCTTCTCCTCTATTCCACTTCCCGCCGGCGGTTCAAGGACAGAGGAGCAGAGCGGCGTCGGGCTATTTATCGCTGCCTGCTCATTATCGCTGCCGCTCAGCTCTTCACGGCAGCTTTTGCAGACACTCGATCACTAAATTTTTATCCAGCCTCCGGGTAATGCTCTTCCCCTTATTATCTCAAACTGTTTCTGCTTAAGTACTGATTGAGTACTAATTATATTGTTGCAAGCTTGAATTTTTACTAGAGCGTTTGTTAGTTTGCAACTCCTTTTTTCTGTGATGTGTGGAGATTTCATGCTGTGGCTAGTGAGAAGGGTTTCTGTGGTTGGCAAGCTGATGTAAGTGGTGAAAAAGCTGGTGGATCAAGTCCCGAATGGTGACCACCAGTATCATCAATTGTCAAAATCAAAAATCAAATCTTGAATGCTGCAGATATCTTCAATATCGGCTGTTTGGAATTCTAGGTGCGATTAGTGAAGTTGAACTACTCATTGCGAGATTTTTGTGGTAATTTGATGATTGGTTTTTAGCTCTCTGATTGCATGTTGGTCTATAATATGTGTGCTCGAGCGGAAAAGGTCGGTCCTTTATTGGTGATCATAAGATGTTTGAAGAACCCAGAACTTCCATCTGCTGCACATTTGGTTATTATGTTAATATGGAATTTCTTCAAGGTTCAAAGAAAACGATGCATGTTTGAAAGTCTCTTTTAACGAGAACGAGACCGAGACCGATTAGGGATGACACAAAAAATACCCAGTTTTAGGTCCCTGAACTCCATCATCTTCAGTTTCTCACTGGATTTTTCTGGTAGAAATGCTAAATCTTTTGGGTGGCGGATAAAAAAAATGCAAGTAGCAAATTTGTCCAGCATATATGATTGTTGAGTCGACCATTAGCGTCTCTAACAAATTTGTCAGCATTTTGAACCTACTGGACCTTTATGGTAAGTAGACTTGCTGAGGATTGGGAATTGCCCAGCTCTTTTTAATCTACTGGACCTTTGTGGTAGATAGACTTGCTGAAATTAATTTGTCTTGAGTAAGGCTGATTCACTCATAAATGTACAGAGATTAATTCAGGTCTCATATTTTTGCCTTCTTCTTTTATTCTTCTTCCCCTTTATGATACATGAAGTATGAGAACTTGTAGACTAGCTGCTTTTAAGTGTGATGAGAAGAAGTTTGAGCTATGGAGAGCAATTGTCTACTGTAGTTTCACTAGACTTCTTTTGCCATCCACCGTGTTTTGTAGATGTTATGATTTCCTGATGATTTTCTTATGTTTATTTGCCTCTTCTCCTCACTATGTCTTTATTTTTACATGGTGTTCATTTAGGAAGGGTAACTGGATGCTGGTTTCGCTCCTCTGGAAATTGCACTCCGCTTCACGCCGGCGCGCTTTCTCATCGCTTCCTTTCGCCCGAATCGCCATGGCTACTTCCGGGGGGCATCCTAAAGATGAAGTGTACCTTGGTGCAGTGATTCCCAAGCGCATCCAGCTCTTCCAGGCGATCCAGTCGCAGCAGAAGTCCCATCTCGATTCCCTCCCTCATGACCTTATCAGGTAAAGATTGAAGAGCGTTAGGTTTTGCTTGCTTTTCTTTTGTTTGTGGTACTGAGTTTGACCCTAGTTCTGGATATTTCTACTTGTTAGGGTTACTTTGCCGGATGGGACAGTGAAGGAAGGTAAGAGATGGTCATCGAGTCCGCTGGACATTGCAAAGGAGATTTCCAAGAGTTTGGCATCTAATGCGTTGATCTCTCAAGTTAATGGAGTGTTGTGGGATATGAAGAGGCCATTGGAAGGCGATTGCGAGTTGAAATTGTTTACTTTCGATAGCGATGAAGGGCGTGATACTTTTTGGCACTCTAGCGCCCACATTCTTGGCGAGGTTAGTTGATTACTTAATTATCTTAGACTGACAATGTTTGCTTTAGATGGGTGGATTTGGCATATAAATTTTCTACAATCAGTATTGAGGTTGTTCTGTTTGAATGCACTTCCTTATCTGGAGAAGTTTTAGTTGAATTGTACTAGTTGTAACCGAATGACTTCACCATTCCGATATGTATTCTTCCCGTGGAAGTGCAGCCTCTAGTTAGGCAAGGTGTATAACTGTTCATATAATATTTCAACTGTCCACTACAAGAAAAGAAGATGAGAGTGTCTTGTTAAATGGGCAACTCCAGAGCTTGTTATAGTCAATACATAGATTCCTCAATACTGGACATGGATACCAATCCCTTCAATTTCCTTTTGAAGATAAATGCCAGGCACGATTAGAAAGTGTGCTAAACAAAATAAGTTTAGCAAGTGTCCCACTTAAGTCTCGAAGAGAACTACACTTGACCTGGTGTGCCTTTGGATTCATAACACCATTAGTATACAGCTTAGATGGTTCTGTCTCTTGATGGATGAGTTTTTTTTTTGTTGGGGGGGGGGGGGGGGGGGGGGGGGGGGTCTTCTTACTAATGGCAAATGTATATATCCATTGTGGAAAAACCCTGGCTACTACTAGATAGCTTGGTAAGATAGAAAGCATACTGGGTAATGGTGGTATGAGTATTGCCGGGTTTCAGAATTTTCATCGTTCTGTAATTCAATGTCCATGTCTCTCTTTATGTGACAGCTTAGGGCCCCAAGGTATAGATGGCAAATTTTGGTTTTCCTGTTACCTGACGTTTTTCTTGATTTTGGCAGTCACTGGAACAAACATATGGTTGCAAGCTTTGCATTGGACCTTGCACCACCAGAGGGGAGGTATGCTCTAGTCTAAAGTAGTTCCCTCTGTACCTTACTGTTTCTTTCAATAATCTCTCTCTCTCTCTCTCTCTCTCTCTCTCCCACTCCTCTCTCCCCTGTGAGTCTGTTTATGTGGCTTTGATTCGAGCTGTGTCACCTTTCGTATGCATGTACCATGGGGCTGTAGGGATTCTACTATGATGCGTTCTATGGGGAATTAGGTTTGAATGATGAACACTTCAAGCAAATTGAAGCTGCAGCCTCAAAAGCTGTCAAGGTACTCCCCTAATCTATTTGCGTAGTTGCTATCTAATCTCTTGGTTTAGCTGCTTCATTACATTTATCCAACGATGCTCCTATTTGTCTAGACCAGTTAGCTCTCTCAAATTTCTTTTATTGTGTTGAAACTACCTGTTCAACATGTTTCTTCTAAAACTTGATTTACAATATTCTTGTTCTGTACCCTTGACAAACACTCTGTCAGATCTTGAATCAGTTATGCCAATCCTCTTTTCACATTTGTACTTGTATATTGATTATCATTCACTGAAAGTTGCTCAAGTGCCTGATGTCCATTTCTTTCTAGGAAGGACAAGATTTTGAGCGCATTGAAGTTACCAGGGATGAGGCCCTTGAGATTTTCTCTGATAACAACTTTAAGGTAATTTGACAATGGTGGTTAAGGTTTTTCTCACCATGGGACTGTTCATGTGTTTGCTAATTCGGTTTTTCGGGTGTCTTAAAATAATCAGGTTGAAATCATAAACGACCTGCCTTCAGACAAAACTATTACTGTGTACAGATGTGGTCCGCTGGTGGATCTGTGCCGTGGTCCCCATATCCCAAACACATCCTTTGTAAAGGCATTTGCATGCTTGAAGGTGACTTCTTAACTACATGCTCTGCCGATGAGGCTGACTGTGATGCATTCTCCTGTTACCTATATAGCTGTGTTCCTGATCTGCTTAACAGGGAGTTGGTTTTAATATTTGGAATTTTGCAGGCTTCTTCTGCCTACTGGAGGGGGAACAAAGACCGTGAAAGTTTGCAGAGGGTCTATGGAATATCATACCCTGACCAGAAGCGTCTGAAGGTCTGTTCCTCCCCCTCCTTCTGACTTCTGTTAATGGGTATTTGATGCCATTGCATCATTGTGCTATGTCTTGTTTGTTGGGTTAACAAGTATTCTTCTTCCTGAATGCCATCTTTTTCTTCCTTTTGACTTCTGTTAATGGGTATGTTGTGCCATTGCATCATTGTACAATGTCCTGTTGGTTGGGTGTAACAAGTATTCTAATTCCTGAATGCCATTTTTTCTGGCAGGAGTATCTTAAAAACCTGGAAGAAGCAAAGAAGTATGACCACAGATTGTTGGGGACAAAGCAGGAACTTTTCTTTTGTCATCCATTGAGGTAGAGCACAGTTCTCCCTAATATGAATTTAATTTCTTCGATCATAGCAAAATGACATTGTTTCATGTTCGGTGGTTTCTCAGCCCTGGAAGTTGGTTCTTCCTTCCTCACGGGACACGGATTTACAACAAGCTAATGGGGTTCATAAAATCTCAATATATCCAGAGGGGTTATGAGGAGGTATGCTGCTTAGTTAGCGCATGTTCAAGTAAGCTCACATTGACAAATACTCGGTCTAATTTCATTAAAATTCGCAGGTCAAAACCCCAAATATGTATAACATGAAACTCTGGGAGACATCTGGGCATGCTGCAAATTACAGGGATAACATGTTTCTGCTTAATGTGAGTACATTAGCAACTCAACTCTTATTTGATAGCACTTTTCAGATTGATATGGCTTCTTCAGTGTTAGTCTAGGCTCTTGTGAAGAGGCATTATGTTCTCTGAGGGGGTTAAGATAGAATGGTGTGTCACTCTTAATATATTTCAAACTGTAGTGTTGTTTATCTAGGATTTCATTTGGGTGTTGTGTAAAGTTGTGCTTTGACTGATTCCAATGTGATTTGCCAAAAAAGGGAAAGGAGAATAAACTGTTTTACTGTGTGGATATTGCTTTGCATCATACTTCAATGCAATTAGTCATACCATACTTCTTAAAGATATTAACTTCCAGTTGCTAATTTCTGTTGTGGCAGATTGAAAAGCAAGAATTTGGGCTGAAACCAATGAATTGTCCTGGGCATTGTTTGATGTTCCAGTATAGAGTTCGCTCTTACAGAGGTGACTTTGGTTTCATCCATTGCCATTCCGTCATAGAGTCTTCTTCAATGAATAGTCAATATGTAGTCTGTTGCCTGGGACAAAGATTTTGACATTCTTGCTTTATACTTTGTCCTTTGGGTTCTCATTTTAACTCCTTTGATTTATTCTGGTTTTGCAGAACTTCCTATTCGTATGGCAGATTTTGGTGCCCTGCATCGCAACGAGGCCAGTGGTGCACTCACAGGGTTAACTCGCGTTCGTAGGTTTCAGCAGGTGGTTATAAGCAATGTTTTTACTGTTTGACATAAGGGTTTGGCATTACGTGTTTCATTGTCAGTCAAGAAGATGGGTGCCTACAGTGAGATATAGCTGTTATTACTAGTGCATTAGATTTTGATTAACAGATTTAGAAGTTCATATCCGGTTCGAACTCCTGTATGTTATTGTTGATGTATTGTCAGTTGTCGATGAACTGTCTAGTTCTTACGCCTGTCTAGTCTGATGAATATTTCTTTGTTTCTCATTTCTCTTATGTATATACGTCTTATCTAGTCTAGTTCTTACGCCTGTCTAGTCTGATGAATATTTGTTTGTTTCTCATTTCTCTTATGCATATAGGTCTTATTTTATTTTTGCTGTTGAAGCCAAACATTTCTTTTCTGTACAGGATGATGCTCATATCTTCTGCAGAGAGGACCAGGTGATATTTCTAATCTTATGCCCAACAGTTCTGTTTACATAATGAAGTACTTATAGGTGAGAAGATTTGCTGAAAGATACATTCTCATTTTTTTCCACAGATAAAAGACGAAGTGAGAGGTGTTTTGGACTTCATTGATTATGCATATAAAATATTTGGATTCACTTATGAGCTGAAGCTCTCTACGGTATGATATTTCTTTTTGATTATTCAAAATCGCTTTTTGACCGAACCTTCATAATCTAATGAGATATTTTGCTCGAATTTTGGGAAGATAGCAAAGTTCTAGCTCTATCATGAATGTGGTTCAGTATTCATAGCTGGGCATACTTAGTGCTGATCTCATTTACGTGTTTCTTAGTTGAGATACGATGAGTTTAATAAAGTGCACTTTAGATTTAATGCTGCTTTATATGCAGTATGTGATGAGAGATCAAGATTATTCTATATGCATGTTCAGGGCCATATGCTCGTTTTGATTCCTATGAAATATCCGGCACTCTGTCCTATCTACCATTTTGCAAGTTTATATTCTTTATTATGATTGCTAATGCTTTTCAGTGGATGTGGATTGGTTGAATGCGGTCCCTGAGCATCTAATATTTTCTACTCATCAGATGCCTGTAAGGGGTTGAGGGGTGACTCCTTATGTTGTAATTTTATCTATATGCCAGAGGCCGGAGCAATATCTAGGGGAGGTGGAAACATGGGATAAAGCTGAGGCTGCTCTGACAGAAGCATTGAATGAATTTGGGAAGGCGTGGCAGGTATGTGCTTTTCTTCACGTTAGGGGATATTCTGATGTTATTTGGTGCTTGTTATATCGTTGTGCAACTCCACAGGCCAAAGAAGAGATCTCAAATGGTCTCTTGAATCCTAATGCATACATTCTTGTATTTACAGATAAATGAAGGGGATGGTGCTTTTTATGGTCCTAAGATAGATATCAGTGTATCTGATGCATTGAACAGGAAATTCCAGTGTGCCACATTGCAGGTTGAGATGATTTTCCTCTGTTGTTTTGATTTCTTTGCTTCAAAAGTGCATTGCTGCATTTAGTCTCATAATTGGTTATGGATGTCGGCTGCAGCTTGACTTCCAGCTTCCAGATCGTTTCAAGTTGGAGTTCTCTGCTGAGGATGAAACCAAGTTAGAAAGGCCAGTGATGATACATAGAGCAATCCTGGGATCTGTGGAACGTATGTTTGCTATACTATTGGAGCATTACAAGGGGAAGTGGCCTTTCTGGCTTAGCCCACGTCAAGCAATTGTCTGTCCTGTGTCTGCCAAATCAGTGGACTATGCAAAACAAGTTAGTTACAGATTCTCTTTATATGCTGTTGTTCAGAGTTCAGACTTAGTTTCTCTCTCACCCAGCCTCCTATAGCAGAGTTTATTATAAATTTCCAAGGGCTTATCTTTCGAAATTTGCGATCGTTTAATGGAGTTTGATCCTCTGTCCTGTGTTTTTATCATCTTGTTAATCTGTTCTCTATCATCCAACCTAAGCTTAGCAGAGATAATGACATATTCTTGCTTGAATTACAGGTACGAGATAGGATTCATCAAGCTGGATATTATGCGGATGCTGATATAACAGACAGGAAGATCCAGAAAAAGGTTTGCATGCAGCTTCTATGCTTATAATCCCATTTTACCCTATTGAGATAAGTGTACGTGCAAATATTTACTCAATTGATTTGTCTGGGTTAATCCAGGTAAGAGAGGCCCAAATAGCACAGTACAACTACATTTTAGTTGTCGGCGAAGAGGAAGCCAACACAGGCCAGGTACAACTCTACTGCTGCCACTGTGCGACTATGCAGATTGGTGTACTTAAATAATTTTGTGGTTCTTCAACTCCAGCTGCTCACATATTACATATATATATATCGTAAATGATGAGAGCTCAGAACTGGCCTCACTTAGGAAGCATTTGCTTGTTTGACTGTAGACCTAACAGACTAGCGCGGTAATGCAGGTGAGTGTGCGGGTCAGAGACATTGCGGATCACTCTGTTATGAGCATAGAGAGCTTGCTCCAACACTTTGCCGACGAAACTGCTGCATTCCATTAGCGGCTCTACTCCAAAGACCACAAGCTTGCTTATGTTGTTAGAGATCGACTTGCGCAGGTTCTGCCTTCTAAGGTTATTTACCATTTGCCTGCCTCATTTTGATAGTGTAGCAACGAACAGGAGGGTTGCTTGGGGTGAGTGATGAAACAAATGATACAGGGAAGTTTCTTGACTGGTGTCTTTTGAATGCTGTAGTTCAGCTGAACTCTTTTTTTTTTTTCAGCAGAACAACTGGTTTGTAAATTTCCTATCACTTGCTTCTGTTAAAGTTGGTTTGTGACGTTTACAAACTGGTTTGGAATCGCTTACAATACAACGATAGAGGATGCACGATTGGCGCGATTCGGGTACATCAACCGTGTTTTAATACATGTCATATAGACATATACTATGTTGATATTGTGGAGACGAAAAGGGAACAATGAGATGATGGGATAGGGTGATGATGTGGGGGGAGTAAGGGATAGTGTGCATATTTCCATATTGCCAACCAATAAAACACTAACTACAGTGGCAAGCAATGAGTCGAGTCATTATGTAATGGAGGTGGATACAATTGTCACCCATTCTTGTGAATGGGAATCTTGGCCGCTGCCGTGGTACGAACCGGCCGACAAGCCATGATGATGATGAGGCAATGAAAGAAGAAAAGAAAAAGAAAAAATGAGCAAAACTTGTGAAAGAGAAGAAAAACTGGGCAGGGGAAAAAGGGGAAGAGAGGAAATTAAGTCGTCGATCAATAATGGGGGGAAAAAAAAGAAGGAGGCATCATTGAACGTGCGAGCAAAAACGTTGTTCTGGACGCGGAAACGGTACTACTCGACGTTAATACACACGTCATGCTCTGTTCTATGATATAATCTCTATCCCAGTAAACCCTTTCCTTGCGTGATTAAGACCTTTTAATAAAAAGTGTTGAATGATCAAAGATAATATATATAGTAGTTAAAAGAAAGGCCCTTTTTTCTTGTTTGGGAAAGAAAGTGAAAAGAAGCAGATGTGTTTGTGGATCTAACCCCAAAAAGATGATAACAATCGACACCACACCATGCATGCTCCCTAATATATGTCTCCTCCCTTGCGGTATATATAATTATAATATAGCTACTTTTTTTTTTTTGTGAAAATAGATACTTTTTAGTGGTAGTAGGCTGCAACTAAGAATTTATCCCATCTCGAACAAAATCAGGACTTCAAAACCGAAAATGATATGATAATATTAAAAAAAAAAAATATTATTACATTAATCTTACCATTACTATATGGGAGATTCTCTATCAGAACACACTCTATTCGAAACTTTCAACATTATGAGAGTTTGTAGGAAGGACATTTGAATCATTTAAACTATTAAAACAAAGCATTTGATAGAATTCTAAATCAATAATATCTCATGCACGAGAGCTTATTGATGAATCCTAAAAAAGCCCAAGTTCTCTCTTCCTTTTTTTTTGGTACCAACATTTTTATTCACTAATAATAATTATGTCCAAATAAAATATTTTTAACATTTAGTTTGAAAACCAAAGGATTTTAAACTATTGAGTTAGTAGCTACGCCGATTAAGAATCTTTAATTGCTAAGGTTTCATATGTCCAAACATTTTCAACTCAACTAAAATATCACTGAAATGAAGGAGAAAGAGTTTATTGGTGGTAGAGGTAGTGAATTCAGAAATAGTAGTGATAGTGAGTAGTAACGTTGTTGAGAGGAATAGATAGACTATTGATGATCAACAAAGAGGTTTCAGTGAAGAATATGAAACTACAGTTATTATAGAGATTATGATACATCTGGTGAAACAATAGCAAAGAAGTCGGTAGAAAAATTACAACAATTTCCTACCGTAAGAAGTAAATTGAATTGTAGTTTGATAATTTATTTTTTTAAGAGTTAGTTCCCTTCCGTGAGCTCTATTTTTTATTTTTAGTAAGAACTTCCGTTGATGAACCTGTTAGCATATCATAAAAAACTTTACGATGTATGCTCATTTTTTATATTTTTCATTAATTGAATAGTTTAAATCTTTTGATTTTTTATATCAATAAAAATATATATTGCTTCGTACAATTACAATTGTTGGTTATGTGTTTGAAATAATGTATCTAGTCAACAGCCAGGGTACTTTTGTTGATGAACCGGTTAGCATATAAGAAAACACTATGATGAGTGTTCATTTTTTTAATTAATTGAATAGTCCAAATCTTTTGACTTTAGATACCGATAAAAATATATCTTGATTGACAATAACTATTATTTCTTATGTGTTTGAAATAATGCATCTAGTCAACGGGTCGGGTTCAAATTTGATAATAATATAAAGAGATTATGCATCAGGGTGTATTTGTTCATTTTTTCCCTGCTCTCCCCATGAGTCTAGGAGGGATAATAATGTTCTGTCTAAAACGTAACAAATATAATGTTCTGTTTAAAGAGAAGATTATAATAATGTCCCTTGTCTTTTATTTTCAATTGTTTATGGTATAAATATTTTCTACTTCTCCCTATGGCGAGGCGTGCTACATGTTTCATTCTGCCGTGGTTTCTTCCACGTACTAAGTCGTGTTCTTTTCAATTTTACATTCTTCCTCCTATTGTTTATATTAACATGTAACATACCGCAAGGTTTTTCATAAAATAAAATATTATTTTTATTATATCATTATTTGTATATGACAATTTTAATATAAAGTATACAAATCATAACCTAAAATATACAAAATAGAATAAAAAATATTATAAATCAAAATATATATAAATTAGTCATGTAAACATTACAAACACAATAGACAAAATAACAAACTAGAATGATAAACGATACAAATCGACTTGATATAAACAGTACAAACTGGACTTATAAACATTACTAAATAGGTCGACAAATCCCACGAATCCATCACTATCGCCGAAAAATCCACCTACACCATCTCTGGTCGCCGAAAAATCCGCCGATCACTGGCAATCCACCTCTCTCTCTCTCTTAGAGTACTAGAAAAAGGTCGGGGGAAAAAATTCCCCACGCCGCCGGGAATTCCCCAAACGGCCGGCGTAGCGCGGGAGACGCCGGGAAAAAACCCAATGACGAGCCAAACTTTTTTTTTATTTTTATTAAAAAAATAAATAATCATGTAATTAGCTCATTGCCTTTCATTAAATTAATTAGAATTCTTAGATTTTAATGAGATGAAAAGATTGACACTCACTTAATTAAGTGACTAATAAACCCTCTTAAATCACCTGATTTTATCCCAGCTGCTTGCCTCCTCTACCATTCTCTCCCTATATATTTTCTTCCTTATAGGTATATATAAATAGAGGGAGGGAAAACAGAAGAAAGGAAAAAGACGAAACCAAACCAAACCAAACCATATCATCACATATACCGCAATATGAAAATAAGTGAAAATTAAATAAACAAAAAAAGATGGAACTAATGTCATCAATCATTACTTTGTAGGTAGCATCAACCAACCCAAAAAAGATACAAAATAGAAAAGATAAGATAAAGAGGGCAGGACACTCATTAATTAATTAGGATGAAATCAAATGCATGTCCAGTACCACCAGAACATGATAAGCCGCCATTTTCAGCTAGCGCTAATCCTCCATAATTAATCAACTTTCTACTTATTCTCACTCACTCACTCACTAGATCCCAAATATATATATATATATATATGATGATAAGAATATAATCACTGAAAATAAGCGTTGTTGTTGGTGGTAGTAGTACTAGCACGGTTGACATTCAAATCACGGTGGTGGAGATGAAACTCATGATGATGATGATGATGGCGGCGATGGCCGCTTTTACCATGACTAGACGTCATCGTCGTCGTCGTCTTTGAGCTGCTGCTCTCCCCAACTTCATGATGCCCGTCCATATCATACCGTTGATCATCATCATCATCACGGTCTCCCCCGGCGGCAGCCTCCTCCTCCATCCCGCCCATGAACTCATGATGATGCGGCGGCGGCGGCGGCGGGACGACGGAGGGGAGCTTGGAGAGCAAGGCTTCGAGGCTGCTCATCGACGGAGCTACCTTGAACGGCAGGAGGCTGCCGCTGCTATTCATCATCATCGTCATGTGATTATTATTGTGATGGTCCGCGTACAGCTGATGATCTGCCCCGCCGCCGCCGCCGCCGCCAGTGAGTTGGTAATAAGCCGCGGCTTCATGGTGGTGGTGAGGCAGCGGCGGAGGCGGTAGCATCGGGTGGTTTCCGCCGCCGCCGTAACCATAAGCGTAACCGTCCATTCTCACGGGGAGGATTTGGGTAGGTGAAGAACAAGGGTGGGGCAGTAATACTCCTGGAATGCTCTCTATGTAGCTCAGCTTCTTCCTCAGCGTTACCACGTAGCTCAAATCCTCAACCACCTTCAATTTCATTCCATAAACAAAGAAAAGTGTATTTTAGATATATAAAAAAAATATATCGTTTTCATGTAGATGCATGCATATGATGATGATGATTGTGATTATTGCATGTTTTTTGGCTGTTTTAGGGGAATAGAGAGCCTCATAATGATGTGTTTTTTCATGGACAATAAATAAGAAAAATTCGTCAAAAATGGTAATTTTTTTTTTGAATATCCGACAAACTTGTTAGCTATTTACCTGTACTAAACAGGATATATATATGAAAAAAGAAAGAATTAAAAGAGGTTTAACTTGGTGGTGAAGAGAGAGTAGAGTAGAGTACCTTGTGGACAGCTCCAAGTTGGACAACACCTTCTCGGACAGCAATCAGTGCTATGGTCTACCAAACCAAACCAACACACAACATTATATTATATAATAAATTATTTCTGGATTTTTGAAAAACCACCAAACACAAATCAAAAGAAAGGTAGGAAGAAGAAAAAAAAATTGGAAATGAAGAGATTTGAGAGCTAGCTATGGTGAGAAGAGATCTATCTGTTTACCTTTATTCCAGACTGGAACTGGGCTTCCCATGTTCTTGGTTGCTGTAACATATATAAAAAAGAGAAAGATGATCATTCTGGTGTAGGTAGTGAAACTAATCATCAAGAATGAAAGAGGGCCAAAGATTTTGGTTGATTTCAATACAGAGTCAGCTGAGTTGTGCCATGTAGACAAGAAGTTGATCTCTTGCTCATTTGGTTCCTTGTGTACCCACTTGTGGCTGTGATCTGCTGCTACTTTCCCTATCAATCTGACACAGACCAAAAACTTCATTTACTCTCTCCTGATCTAGCTACTTGCTCTCTCTCTCTAACCCAGAAAGTAACTAAATCAGATTTTAGATAAAAAAAAAATACCCTTCCCCATAGTTGTAGATTTCATGGGACATCTTGAAGAAGAGCTCAGGCTGCAGCCCTTGATGCTGCTGCTGATGATATTGCTGCTGCTGAAACTCATAACCAGAAGCAGAAGCAGAAGAAGTGGTGGTGGTGGTGGTGGTCTCTGCTGCTGTTGCTGAAGATGCAGCAAAGTTGCAGTATCCATCTTCCCACACCAATATCCTGCTCTCCCCCCCCACATTATTTCATCATCATTCAATCATATCAATCTCCACTAGCTAGGAATATATAAATATTTATTAATAAAAAAACACTTATTTAAAAAAAAAATGGGTGGAAAAAAGGGTGGGGAAAAAGAAAAAAGAAGAAGTACCAATTCCTCCTGTTGCCTCTAGACCGGTCATACGCTCCTTGCCCATCCCATCTGCAATATAGGTAAAAAAAAAGAAAAAGGACTCTTATCATGAATAATAATGTGATTAGATGCATTTGATCCTATAACCGTAACTTCTGCCTAGCTAGATACTCTCTCCCTGAACAACAAGAAGAAGCAGCAGAAGAAAAAGGACAGATGCATATATATAGGATATTGTTAATTGCGTACTTGGGAGGAGGATAGTTTCTGGGCAAGATCCTCCAGAAGACAGCATAAACCCACTGAGAGTTGTCGTGGTTGCACAAGCTCCTCAGTGTGTGTTGAAGCAGATGAGTGATGGCTAACGGGCTGAGATGTTCTTCCATTTCCAACAACACACAGCAAGGAACAAGAGCAAGAGCAAATGAGCAATCACCTTTCCCTTTCTCTCTTTTTTCTCTCTCTTTTTCTCTTTTCTGCTCTTTTGTGAGAGTGGAATGGGTTGCCTCGCTCACTACTACACTCACACTAGTTTAAGCTTAGCTTGTACTCTTTTCGAAAGGAGGCTAGCCAAACACCCAGCAGGCTCTACTCTTTACCCTTCCTTTATATAAGCCCCACCAACAAGGGAAGATCCTTTTCATACCCCTATTTCCCTTTTCTATTATATATTTACATATATTCTTTGGGTTGGGGATGAGATGACTCTACAACAATCTATATACATACTTTGGATAATACGAACCGTGAGAACGTGATCACAACGGGTTGAGCATTGTCGAATTAAGTGTTGATTGGTTTGTGAATGTTGTACAAATTTGATGATGATAATTTTGTAAATAAAATTACACCGAATTCATTCACCAGCCGGCCACTATCCATGAAAATCAAAATTAAACGTGTCCATTCGTAACATTAACAGCTACCCTTCGGCTTGCGAGTCAGAAGGTACCTTAGGTCATGTACCTTTCTCTTCTCTTCCTTTTCTCTTTTAGTTTTCATTTTACATTATTCTTCTAAATAGACCTCCTAATCACAAGGAAAAAGGCTAAATAATAATATGTCACGTGCCAGAAAACCCAACTGATCATTGTAGTACTTCACTACTTCTGTCGAAATACATACATAGCCGAACGGTGAGGATTTGACGATGTAATGATGTATTAGACTAATTGTATGCGTTCTTTTTTACTCTACCTTTGTGATTTGTAAAAAAGTATGTATTTCCAAGACTTTTAGGAGCTCGCTTGGAGAATTTGTGTCTAAATTTATAGATTTTAAATAATTTTTAAAAATATTTCGTTGTTTGTTAATTGTGAGGGTTAACAATCAATTAAAAATAGAATTTTTTTTATCATTATCCTCAACCAACAGAATTAAAATGCATCAAGAAATACTGAAACTTCATTTGTAAGCGTATATAGTGGGATACATAAATAAAAAAGGAAGAAATAAAATACGATAAAAAATCTCAAAATTTAGATTTAATTTTTTTATGATTATGAGAGATTAGATAGTCTCTAAATTTAAGACATTTGAAATCTCTGAAGGTGAAATTCACGATACAAATAGCAACAAATAACACAGTTTTTTATCGAATTTATGAATTCAATAAGTCAATGACCTATCAAGTCAAATTGACTTGCGAGCCTCGCAAGTTAAACAAAACTTAACTCGTTATTAACAAGGCAATTATCAAGCTATTTTTTCTCGAATTTAACATTGAGCCGCTCGATTCATATGCAGGCCTACATATTACTATACAATTTCATCATCTCTTTTATCTCATACATAGTTTAATCATTTGGTCAAATGTATATATTTATATATCCCTGTGGACAAACAAAGTCCACCGTTTATCTTCTTCTGACTTGCTCTGTTTCTGCAGCTAGCTAGCTAGCAGACCGAAAATGGATTTCTTAACATGTGAGATTTGTTTGTTCCTTCTCCTCTCTGTTCTGCATTTCCATGGATTCACCCATATATGCAGATTATAAAAAATGATAGCAAGAATGGAAGTTTCTGGGTCACATTATCGGGAAATCTCCAAGTCTGTCACTCAGCTTGATTTTTTAATTCGACCCCAAGTTTGTCCCCTTTCGTTTCATTTTGATCAGGCATCATTCCCAAGTGTGAAGTAGTACTATTGCTGCCTATACATTTTAATTTGTAACTTGGCCATATCGATCGATCCTCTAATTATCTAATGTGGGCATGTTTCAGGTCGTCAGAGATGGGCCTGCCTGTGTTTACATAGAAACTGTAAATTTGTGGACGCACACCAGAGGAAAAACAATTATATATCGATGTGTTAAACGATCGACGTTGGAGTTGTTGCTGCTGAGGTTGTGCTGGATTCAACGTACAAAAAGTTGCTGTGTTTAGTTTAGTGGTCACCTGTGAAATCGCTTCGGTGGTAATCAATCATCACCAAAGGTGGTTGTTTAGCTGTAATTAGTTGATAGGCAGCCACGGATTCAGGACACAATAGAGCACCGAGCCGAATTTCATAAGAAAATTAGATATGGTAAAAAAATCAAAGTTTTTTTACAATATCAATTGTATACGTGGGTCTTTTAAATTTTAATATAGTGAATTCATCAATAATAGAGTTTACATCCATACCAATAGCATACTCTCTTTAAGATAAAATAGTTAAAGTAATTGGCGAGAAATTCATCGCTCATTTTGTTGCGCACATAAATTTTCACCTATTTCATTGTTGAAAAGGTTCTCTCCATAGTACTTGAAACGAGCAATGGCAACACTGGACAAATCAATCGACTAATCAATATATATTGTGTATCAATTCCTATTTTCACCAGCTGCTCTAGTAATTTCTTAAGGGAATAAACCTCATATTTCTTTTAGTCTTTACCTTTTAGAATTTTAGGTTTCATTGTTTGTTTTTCTTTAGATGAGAATCATTGAAGCTAGAATTTTCAGGCTAAATTTAGAGTTGTGATTTGAATATGTTCATCTTACCAATTTTTCTAATTACACACAATCTTATTATAAATTAACACTGGGCCGAATGGTTAAAATCGATAAACTCATAAGGACTATACTAGCTCCGGATCCAGAGGAGGGTTGGGCCATGGCTCGGGGTGGCCACCCCCTGGATCCGCCACTGTTGATAGGTCAATAACTCGAGTTGTTGGAAGAAACATAATGATGGAGTTTATTTTAACATTCTATTAAAAATTGGTAAATTTTGTGATTTGCACATGTTTTGAAATCATGTTGAAAATCAACTAGTCCCGATTTCTGGAAGAAAATCAATAATAAAGCTTGAATCATTTCATAACTATTAATTATTAATTAATATATTAAAGCCGCAAGCAAGACACAAGCGAGGTTACTATTCCTCACGACAAAATAGGGCTATAATTATCCCCGCTACTGTTAATAAGGGGTTGTATCCCCTATACCCAATTTCACTATAAACTGTTCATAGTTAGTTGTTTGTACTCTTTTGCAATAATTATGAAATCGTAGAGAAGTTTATACAGGAAAAGGCAGTCGTAGGGTATTGTGTACTAAGATCATGGTTCAATCTTTTCATATCGCTAAAATTACCTACCGGTTTGGGTACAGTATTTGTTATTCCGATTTCTGTAGCGGTATTCCAGATTTGATGTTTATCTTCCCATTCTGCTTCCTCATCTCATGACCAGGGGCGGAGCTAGGTGGAGCCCTCCCCCTAGAATTTCGAAACTACGTATAAAATTTCTTCGGATTATGAAAAATTACATATAAAATAGATGTTATTGTAATATTAACTTTGTGTGTAGTAATGCGATAAGAAACGAAGCGGCAGACGAGTGGTAGAAGAATCTATCTTGCAAAATTGGTGCACGGTTTTGAATCTTGCCTATAGCAAATTAGCTCTTGTTTTTGACATTCTCAAGTTGTAAGCCACGTTCTCACCTAAACTACAGCAAATTAAGTGTTATTTTGCCCTTTTCATATTAAATAAGCCAATAAATTGTTTGAAAAAGATAAAAATGAGCTATGTTTTTGACATTCTCAAGTTGCAAGCCACGTTCTCGCCTAAACTAACTACAACAAATTAAGTGTTATTTTGCCCATTCCATATTGAAATAAGCCAACAAATTGTTTTGAAAAGGATAAAAATGAGCTACATATTGAAATGCATGATTAATTTTTTTCGTAATTTAATCATTTGTTTTGAGCATATCAGATAGTAAATAATTATCTCAATTCTTGTTTCGTTATGATAATAAAAATTCAATAAACTTTTTTTGTCATGGTAAACTAAACAACTTCGCCCCCCCCCCCCCTCGAGATTCAAATCCTGGCTCCGTCCCTGCATGTAACATATCCAATATGTAATTATGTGGCTTATGCCGACTCTCATAAAAGCATCAAGCTTTCATTGCCAACATTTCTAATATGGATGAGCCAAAGAACTTTAACCAGACAGTTTGGTTCGAGAATTAGCAGGTAGCCATACGTACGGAGATCTCGGCCATGGAACTGAATCACAACTAGACCCTAGTTTATATCACTACGGGAAAAGTGGCTTTTACCAACATGTGAAATGTGTTGTAAGAAGAGTCAATAGTGTTGTATATGCAATATGCAACATTTTTATTAGTGTCACCTATAGGTGGTGTTACTAAAAGTAATAGGTAACAATTTTTTCACTTTTTGTAACAAAAATAAAAGTGTCGCATTTGTATACCTCATATGTAACACTATTTTAAGCAACACCCCCAAAAATTTATGCAACAGTTTTTGGAAAGTATACACAACATGTATATGCTTCATTCATGACATTATTTTGGTCACATAAGACACTCAATCGTGACAACTTTCACTTGTATAATACCATATACTTGTGACGAGTTTTTATCATTACAAAATGCATATCATCGTCACCAATTTGAGTTATCACAAATGAGTCAAATTTTTTGTCACACGCTTGTCACAAAAGGATATTTTTGCGACGGTGCTATGTCACCAAACGTAATTTTAGTGACAAAAATATTATTAGAGTTGCATCAATATTAGTGATACCTTTGATCATGATGCATTTGTCACAAAATAACTTTTTTATGACGAATTTGTTTTGTCACGTATGACAATATTCATGAGAACTATGTATTGTAGATTTGTAACAATATTTTTATGACGAAGTTTGTGACAAATTACTTGTTACAAAGGACTTTATGTTACAATATTTACGTACCAATATTTTTTTTTTTTTGACAAGAAACCTGTATAGGTACAGGGGAATTGTTCATATTCCATATATAATCCAATATTTGTACAAATGATATTAAACCATCAAGAAAGAAAAAATTACAACGTTTGGAAAAGAAAAACAAAAAAGAATAGAAACTTTGCTGTCGTCGGTCTTCTACAATGAAACTTCCTGTAATCTCATCACCGTCGCCTGCCCAACACCTGAAATTGGACATTTCTTTTTCGTTAGAGATCCAACAAAAACATAAATGCATAGAAGAAAAGGAAATTTTGTTTTGGAGAAGCAACAGCGTGTAAGGAAGAAGACAAAGAGGGTGGTGATGACTTACCGGAAGTGTTCA